TGCGCTGCCGCCGCCGCTGCCGCCCTTCAGGGCCATCCCCTGCTGCCGGGGCCTCCGGGGAGCTTTCGCACGGGGCAAGCGCGGCTCTGGCACGCAGGCCAGGCCGCGGCAGGGTTTACCTGCGTGGCCTTAAGCTGCCGAAGTTGACTGCTTTTCGGGCGGGTGGGAGTGACTTGAAAACCAGCCTCAGTAGAATTGAACCCGCCCTTCTTTAGCCTTGTAAGGCTTAAAAGTTTGTGTTCCCAGTCTTAACTCCAGCAAATCGTTGCTGGTGTTCAGCCATAGATAGATAAGTGGCAACAGCCATTCCTCGTAGAAGAAATGTAGTTCCTGAAGATGGAGTTGAGCATCTAAGGAAGAACCTGTTTTTCAGACACCTTTCTGTCATATTTTACTTAAGCCTTCATGGAATGAACAAGCTCTTGTGTAAGAACTCGTCTCCTACCTGCAGTACTGGAGCTTTCTTTGTGCCCTATCCCATTAACTTAGGCAAACTGTAAACTGCACGCTTTTTTCTCCAAAGATTTGTTTGTGTTGGCTTGGGCTGTGGAAAAATGCACACGCTTCCAGTTGATCCTGGTATTTTAAAGAACCCTTTGGTATGGGAGCAGCTATTTTGTTGCCTCACTTTGTCAGATTATATAAAAAAAATGCAAGAAATACTTCTGCTTGTCTCTGGTCTTTTGCTGTTGAGTGAACAGATACAATATGTATATATTATAGTAGCACAAATTGGGTTTTGTGCTGTGACCTTGGAATTTTCGGGGAAGTCATGTAAATCCATGTGAGCCATGACATCTGTGTGGCCTACCTTGCAAGTTTTACTAGTGCAAATTTACCTAATACAGGCAAAATCGTAGGCTGGATTGGGGATTTTACTGCTTGATTCTTTCATCCTCTAGAGCTCTTTTTCATCACAGATTGGTTGAAATGTTGATTTCAACTGAATATCTGTCATCTGTGAAGTTGGGTGCCCAATTTGTAGAATTCATTTCAGTGTTTGTACACTCACTAGAATCTCTTCTAATGAGGTTGCTGAGATACATAGTAATTTGCTGTAGCCATATGAGGCTTAAGTTGCTATTGCTATTTGAAACTTTACTGTTGCATTACATGACAGGTTTAATTAGAAGTGTGTATAGGTGTGGTCTTTATACTTACAGCATATGCTACTTTTGTAGACGCATACAATCATTTCTGTCCCAAATGAAGTACACTTTTGTGTCGTCTTTTTTTTACTTAATATAATGCCATATGTTCTTTTTATGCCACTTACAATTCTGTAATGCTTTGTCTGGCCCAATTATTTGTCTCCTTTCTAAAGTAAATATTTGCAGTGTTTTTTGGTCTCCTTTCATAGGAAGGCTTCTGAGGCCTTAGATCTTGTGGCCTTTATTTGACCATATTCTATTTCTGCTCTCTCCTTTTTGAGGTATTGTGATCAGAACTGAATGTCATATTCCAGCTGAGAGTATGTTGGTGATACAGCTGTTACTGTGGAATGCTTCTGTGGCTTCTACTCTGTTCTGTAATTTCTGTCATTTTTTAATAATTATTTTTATGGTCAATGCAAGCTGAGTCATTTTCACTGAGGTGTCTTTTAGTCTAGAAGTTAAACCCGTATGGGATATACAAGTGATTCAAATAATGCACACTGACAAGACTTACCTTGATTTCACTTATTACTAACTGAATGTTAACCATTCACACCAAGTCATCTTGGAGTTCTCCTTGACACTTTCCAAGTATTGGCCAAACGACAAAAAGTGTGCTTACCTTGAAAAAAATGTATGTGTCTTCCCTAGACTTTTTAGAGATTAATTGGTCCTAGCATGGAACCAGGAGACAGTGTGTCCTTTTCAAGATGGTCAAAAAGTAGGTAACAATATGCTCTTTTTTTAAAGACAAAACAATCAAAACAAGCCTATAATACGTTTTCTTTATCCCGTGATACTTAGTTTCCAAAGTAGATTCCTGGGTTTTCACTAAACTTTTCATACCCTTGTGCCAGCCCTTTTAGCTACTGCTTTTGGTTGGCATTTTTTTGAAAATTACAGTGAATTATAGAGTTAAGTTTACTTTGAGATAAATTAACCTTTCATGTCCCAAATTCTGAGCCTTTTATAGATGGATACAGTGTCTGTAATGTCCCAGTTCTGTGGTCTGTAAGTTTATATCAGAGTGCAGATTTTTTTTAGCTGTTAGCTGCTTTTTTCTCTCACTCTTTTAAAACAACAAAGAATACGTGTTATTTGTGAAACTGCCAAGTGTATGCAATACATCTTTAAAAATAGTTCATTACTTTTTTTCATATATTTCATTATTACTTAGTGAAAATTACAAATTTATTGTCAAGATTTACATAATACTAGGATTTTTTTTTTTGGGGGGGGGGGTGTAGATAACTTACTTTCTCTTTGTGTTTCCTGATAACTGATTCCTGATACCTTTTTTTAATGGGGAAAGTATATGGCTATGTTTAAGTAACTGTATAAGATTCTTGCTTTTTGGCTGAAACAGTTTTGCATATTCAAAGAGAATCGTGAATTGTATTTTTGCCTTCCTGAACCTGAGCTGAAAGGTAGTTGGCCATGAGGATAGACCAGAGAAGAAAACTGAGAAGTAGATAGGTATGGAGTAGAAATGCTGATCCTGAGTTGTTGGAGTAGAGATTGTAATTGAACTGTCTGTGGTTAAGATATTGAGAGGTCAAGCAGAAATATCAAGAGAAGTGCCATGGGTAAAGATTTGTGGAACTGTAGAAAGTTGGGTTTGGACTGTGAGGGCAGCCTTCCAAAGGAGATGGTGAAGGAGGAGGTGTGAAGCATGGCAGCTCTTGCAAATTTTCAGCTTTCCTAATGAATAAAATATTAAATGTTAAAATTCTATTGTTGTAACTTAGAATTTCTTACCTAGGTAAATAAACAGTATTTAACTGCACTTCTGGAATACTAGAGATGCATAATTTCTTAAAACCTTGTGTAAAAACTACCCTTTGAATTATAATATTAAGTATTTAGAAATTGTGCAGACTAATTTTACTGTTTCTGCTTCATAGATTTTGAAGATGATGATGTGTATGGCCAATCAGTAGAAGATGATTATTGCATTTCTCCTTCAACAGGTTAGTTCAAATGATTATGTATAAGCATTGTCCATTGACTCCTACTGTGATATTTATTTCTAGAATAAAACAATATTTAAAAGCTAGTGAAACTTTTGAAAAGCGCCTAGCAGCTGTAATCCTGTTAAAGTCAGTTAGGTAGTGTTAGGCATTGTTATGCTTTTGGAAGTCACATTAGACAACTGGGCACATCTTCAGTCATACAAGTATACTATCTCGGATGGTCAGAATGTATTTGATAACGTAAAAATCTGGTTTATGGGAATGTGTTGATAGTCTTGAAACATTTGGTATCTTTTAAAATTGTTGGTAGGATCTAGCTGGGCTTAACAGTTGTGATTCTGCACCTGGTAGGTGATGTCTTTTACACAAGTTTAAGTAAATGTGGGGTAAGGAGTCTTACTGTGGGATGCAGCACTGGTCATCGCTGGCTTCTGTTGTCATACAAGGTCATGTGGAGGTAATAGGCCTTCGGGCATTTGTAATGCTGTGGAGTAGGTATAAAAAATAGTAGGTATAAAAATAGTGATTGCTGTGTGCTCAGGTAAGACATAATTGGAGTGGCTCAGCCCAGCTGAATTCAGCCCATTAGGTTGTGTTCTCCAGTCAAATCTCTGGCAAGATTACCAGTTTAGGGTTTCCCCAGATTTGGTGGCAGTGTTTCTAGAGCCGAGTAGGCCCTGAAAATAGTATGGCTGATGTTGATGTGAAGCTGTGCTACTGGAGGTAACTAGGCTGGATCTAAATATGCTGTGCCTGTGATGCAGTCTGTGACCTCTGGCCACAGGTGCTTGAGTTAATTAGGCCTTTAAAAATCTGTTCCTCTGTCATTCTGTTGATTTTAGATAAGCAAATCTAGGTGTGTATTTTTATTATTTGTAGTCACATTCCCTGATTTAAATTCAGATTGTCTTGCATTCAATTTCCACGTTTAATTGCTAGAATTTCTCAGACCTTTTCTAAGAATTAAGGTAGCCTTGTATTTTGTGATGAAAATGTGCAATGTGTTCACTTTTTAATCAAGTATAAACTGCTAAATTGCAAAACTAATCCTTGTTTGTGCACAGTAATTTTCCTAAGAATTCTTTTTACGTAAGCTTCATTTATAAAATAATCTGATCTAGATTGTATAGCAATCTTTTAATAGTTGCTTCAGTTATGGTGATTGAATATGAAATGGTGTGCATTTGGGAAACAGTTGCTAAGGCTATACTACTTAACTTCTGAATATGCATATACTTTCAGTATATATTTCAGAGCTGGGGAGAATATTACATAACATAAGGAAATTTGTTTACATTATACTTTGTACATTTCTGAGAGTATATAATGACTGGGGCTCATGTTCAGCAAGAAGTTTTATCTGTATATGCCTTAATGTGTTGTTAAATCAGAGTGGAATTATGCACTTGCTTAAAATTTTGTGTGACTATACATTTTAACTCAGGGACTGTATTTCTAATGAAATTCCTAGAAGAGAAGAATGTGTTCAACTCCATCACATTGTTACCAGTAGTTTGACAGTGCCATACTGTAAAAGCAACATTATTTTCATGCTAATTTTTTTTCACTTGTAACTGTGGTAAAAAAAATAATTGTGGAGTAAGATTCTGAAGACATTAGTCCATAGATGGTAATTCGGTGTAGAAAATACTATTTTTCAAACCTGGAGTATATTCTTTTGTTTGAATGCTGAACTTTGCAGAATTATTGCATTACATGAATACAAGGATATTGCCCAGCCTGTGGTTTCACTGTGATGATGACTAACATGAGCTGCTGTATGCTCTGTACAGTCTTCAGGTAGTAGTCATTATACAGTAGTGTCCCATCGCCCCCCAAAACCACTGTAACAGGTCAGTGTCCCAACTTTTTTTCCCCTTTGGATATGTTTTGTTTTTAAAGGAGGAAAAAAGATTCGACTTTTTTTTTTTTTTTAATACTTTGTTTTTTGCCTAATGCAGCAGCTCAATTTATCTACTCCAGACGAGACAAACCAGCAACATTTGCTGAGCCATTAGAAGAAGAATATGGCTATGAAGGTACAGATGATACTGCTGATTATTTTACATCAAATCATCAGTTGACTGAAGTTGATAGAGGTAATTATAGAAAATAAGTAATTCTCAGAACAATCTCTTATGAATTAAGGGCTTACTAAAATAGTCTTAAATTAACGTTACTTGACTGACACTACTCACAATTCTGTAATCTTGTAGAATAACACCCTTCATGAGCACAGCTTCATGGTGATTCTTCAAATTCATAACTACCTTATGTATACTACTTGTAACTTGGTTGCATACCTTGAAATATGTTCTTAGTTTCTTATTGGGAATAATGAGATTTGATACGAAATTCAGACATAAGAACAGCTGTACTGGCTCAGGCCAAGCATCCATGTAGCTCAGGGTCTTGACTCCGCAAATGAATGCTTAGGGAAGAGTATTAGAAAAACTATTTGTAGAATGATCTTTTGCTTGTATTGCATTTCAAATTACAGCAATTAGCAGTATTTGAGAGGTTTTCAGTCACACATCTCCTTGAAACAGTAGCCAATATCTTTAGATACCTGTATCCTCTACAGTCTTTTCTTACCCTGTTTTGAATTCATTAGACTTTGGCTTCCATTCAGTCCTGCAGCCATGAATTCCATGTTATAAGCCAAGTTCTGAGCTGTGTAGTTAGGGAAAAAATACTTGCTTTTGTTTTTTAAACTTGCTGCCTGATAGCTTAATTACATGCTTTGTGAAAAAGATTCACAAATCTTTTTCCTAACTATTAGTAGTTAACTTAGTTTTTAATGTTTTGGAAATAATCAGGGTTATTTTCAAAATGTTGGTAAGCTTAAAGTGTGAATGAATAGACAATAAAATGAATGAATGAATTTTGCTATTTAAAACAAGTTGCAGAAAGTTCAGAAACAATAGATAGAATAGAAAGCATCTAAAGTCCATGTCAAGTAAATTGGTAGAAGCTATGCTAATGCATAGACATATGGGTAAATTTGGTAAATTGGGGTGTAACGTACATGTTTTCACAGCAGGCAATAATGCTGTAGAGGGCAATTTGAAAGAATCAGCCAGTATGTGGGTACAGGTGACCTAGACAATATGGTACCCTGGCTTTTCCGAATGCTTTTGACAGACTCGATCAGTTAAGAATTGATATTGGAACAAGAAGGAAAGTAATATTCTGGACTAAAAAAAGATGGAAAAGAAACCTAGAAATAACTGTTTCTACTGTGAAAACAGCAGTGGTCCTACAAGACCTGTTGTGTTTGGTATAGTGTGCAGTGTTGGCCATTAATACAAAATTATTGATTGTAGTCAATCTGGCTGCAAAGAGTTTGGCAAGATTGTCCTTGCTGAGTGTTGGATAATAAAATGTCCAACCAGCACATTGTGTGCCAGTACTTGTTTTGCAGAGCCAATGTCTGGGGAACATTGACTTGATTACAGATCGAGGGTGCTGATTTAAGTAACCTTGAGGAAGTTGGAATTCTGTGGTGTTGAATTCCTTTAGCAAAGTTCTTCAAACATCACCATCTTTAGGAGGTGTTCAAATCAAGAATCTGTAGTCGTCTTCCTGTTGTTCAGTTCCTGTTTTCCAAAATCTGAACTGGCAGAAACTGTGATATTCAGGAAGATTTTCTTCTGTTCTCTTGTGTTGGTATATCTGATTTGCACACTACTTCCAGTGAGTGGCAGCCTGGTGAATTTTCAGTCTCTTGTTTAGTGGTAGGTCAAAACTTAAGAAACTTATCTTAGTCAAGGCTTATACTAGTTGCAGAAATATGCTCCAAAGAAAATTGATTGCCGAAAAATGTATTACAGTTTTAGGAAAGGTAAAGATTGCAGGTAGTTTCAAACCTGGCGTGTTGATCCAGAGTTTTCAATTGGTAAGGCCTGAGGCCCCTGAAAATGCTGTTTTACTTTGGGTGTTAATTATAGCATCTGTAAACACTTAAAATGTGCTGTTTAATGGGATTCCATGTTGACTTACTAAATTACTTTGGAAAATTTTAAAGGTGATTATTTGTATTTCTTCTCTGCAGTGAAGATAGTTAATTTTACAACATCAAAGTATTTCAATATTGAGCTTTATAAACTAATAAATAGTAGTCAGTGATATGTTCCTTATAGCAATATCTGAAATTAGTCAAATATTCTGCAGGGTTTGGGAGCAAAGTTTATCATGGCAATAAGTGAGATTGAAATTAATTTCTAAAGGTTTTATCTCTTACTATGATATTTTTCTCCTGTTTTTGTTAATGAGATGTGCGGTGCTAGTGGTTAGGCCGCTTAAGACAGTTTTTTGTGCGGCTTGTAACAGTAATATGTCTCTTTTAGCCCGTCTTAATTCATGCCTTGATCAAATGAGAGAAGTTTTGGCAGAGTCTGTACCAGAGCAAACAATGGTGCAAGCAGTACTGGATAGTAAATTTGATGTACAGAAGGCTTTGGATCTTGTGCTTTCACAAGGCAGTAAGCAAAATGTGAAGACCAAGAATGAGGACGCTGTGGTTGTAGGAAAGACGACGAAAGGTATATTTCTGTTTAATTGTTTGCATTCAAGATGATTCATTTCTATGTACGGTTTAATTTTGGCTTTACAAGCTGAGAAGATGCTTGTTATTGCATTAGTCATTTATTAGAAAATTAAAGAAGACCAATTTACTCTTCTATTTCTGTGTTCTAAAAACATTTAAAGGAAACAGTAGCTTTTCTTGAGCTAGAAGTCAAAATAAAACCTTAGCGTCCGCTTAAATTCAAACTGCAACCATCTGCAGTTCACAGTGAATTTCTGATTTATAATATATGACTTAACTGAATGAATACATGTCCTAAAAGTTGGACAACATCTTTAAGTTTTATGCACTTCCATTATTTGTTTGGTGAACTGACATCTCCCATCCCCAATACCTCCCTTTTTTTGGTAGCGCCCGTACAGTAACTTTTGTATTTTGATTTATGCTTAAATCTTCGTAATGTTTACTGGCATTCTTTGTGATTCTTAAAGTTTCTTAGGTATTTCAGTAGATACCTGTGATTTAATTGTAGAACATTGCATGTCTTTGGATAACACTTAGTAATTAAATGCCTTTTCATGTTTCTTCTTGATTTTTTTGTTGCTGCTGTCTACTTTAAAAAAAAATGGATATTTCGTTGTGACTGCACTTCCATCTGAAAATTATTGGCTATTGTAAGGTAAGGAGCCTTACTTTGTTGCCCAGAAATGCGTATTGATACAGACAGTTTCTCTTGTGCAGTAGAAAATGTTGCTGACAACACCAATAAACCTGGGTTTGGAAACTTGACAGTTAAAAGTGGTTCAGCTTGTTACTCTTTAATTACAAATGACAAAATGCTCCTTAATGCTGAAAAATCCAATATACCTACATCAGAAAGGAAAGGATTGAAATCCTCTTCACTTGTTCTGTCATCTTCTTTCAGTGATGATTTGTGTAAAGGATCGTTTTGTGAACCTGTGAATAAACAGGCAGAGAATCAACTACCAGAAAGTGCTAATGCAGTAAGTTCGATTCCTGGCAGTGAAGATGTTTACTTTAGCATAGGAAGTAACCCATCTGGAAATTCTTCCTTTAAGAAGTTGAAATGCAAGGAAACACAGGACTTGAAATCCTTGCTGATGCAGACTGTGGTTTGTGATTCTCTGAGTTCTGAAGACAGCATTCCTTTTGTTTCCTCAAATATTTCTGATTGTAATAGTAATACAGATTTTTACAGTCCTCCGTGTTTAACAAGTGCTTTAGGAAAACTGGCTCTTGATAATGAAGTCAGTCATACTGTAAATAGAAAGAACGAACTTCTTGAAGATTTTTCTTCACTTGTGCAAAGTAGAAAACAACAAAGCCCCTCTTCAGACATGGCTGCTTTGCCAGTGTTAAGGTCTGGAAGTACATCATTGGCTGACTTACTTCAGGAGCACCAGGAAAGCAGTGCTAGCCACTGTTATTCTTTGGCTGATCTTTATAGCCAGTCAACAGCAAGTCTCACTGATAAGAAATTGGGAACCTCACCATTATCACGACTAGTAAGTCAACCCCAAACTTCAGGTGGGATGCCAGAGCTAACAGGATCTTTGTCTTCTCTAGCCCTCTCTAAAGTTTCTCCACTAAAGGAAGTTGAGAATTTATCACTCTCGGATTTAATAGCAGAGACTATTGAAGTAGATAAAACTCAACAAAGGACAGACGTCCCCATGCTGAATGTAGCTGAATCGAGGCCCTCTAAAAGAACCAGCATTGATTTAAGTGCCCTTGTGAAAAATGCAGGTGTATCTGCAGAAGAAAATGTGGTAGGACAGTCAAATATTTTAAGCCCCGAAACTAAACTTTTAAAAGAAAAACAAGGAAAATGTTCTGGTTTTGCCAAAACAAATAAAAAACCCAAAAGAGGGCTTACTCCTAAGAGGCAGGATTTGTCCCTTTCATGGATGAAGGCACTGCGTGCAAGACCTTCAGCTTTTGCTTTAACCTTGTGTCTCCGTTATCCTCCAAAAGGTTATAAGCGGCACACAATTGGCATGCATAAAGCTTTCCTATACAGCAGACAAGTACAAGATGTAAAACCCAAGGAAACTGGTCCTATAATAGCCATAACACCATTTGACTTCAAATCAGCATCTCCTGATGATATTGTCAAAGCTAACCAAAAAAGAGCTTTTACCAGAGAGTAGTGAAAAAAAAAAAATAAAAAAAATCAGTGTTTGTATCTTGGTATATTAAAAACCCTCTAATTATATAGGACCTATTTATAATCCAGAATTGAATTTTTTTTATTTTTTTAATTGACATATTACAGTTCTCACTGTTTGGTAACAAATTTGTATGTGAACTTTTAACCTGTTGCACTGAATATCTTTATTTTTGCCTAATTTTCACTGACAATTTAACATTTTTAACTTTTGCAAAGTCTTGAACTTTAGATACTGCATGTATAAAATTCTATAAACACCATTAGACTTCTTGAAACACCTCTTTAGGTGTTGAAGATACAGTTCATTGGGAAGAACACTGAATTATTATTTTGTAAAGTAATTTAGTTTTGCTATGTGGTGTATAGTTTGGGGAGTGGAAACCTCAGTTTATATTACGACTGTTTTATTAAATGTTCTTAAAGTTAGGTTTTCTGATAAGGTATGTTATTAAACTGCCAGTCTTGTAATTGGTATTTTCCAGTCAATGTCACTATTCTCTTCTATCTTTATACTGATTACAATATTACAACAGAAATACCTTTAGTTTTTAAAAGCCTCGCTAACCTCAGGTTTTGACAGTTTTAGTTGTGATAGGACATACATAGTTCTTGATGGGACCAAATTTGTAGGGGAGCAAGCAATTAAAATTGTGTGTCTCCCCCCCCCCCCCGTTTATTCTCTAATCAGCTGTCAAAATGTGATATTCAGAATTTTAAAATAGCTATTTTGTAGGTATATACATGTTGGATGTATTTCATGAGAAGTTTCACTAGGATTCTATGGTTTATTCTCAAGTCTTTCAGAAAAGTATTGGAATAACAGTTCTTTCAACTTTAGCATGAGAGTCTTTGCTCAATGGAAAAAAAAATCAGGCAAAGCATAAGTGCTGTTTGTGTCTGCCTCTTGTCTGTTTTGAAGAAAGCTTCCTTTAGTAATGGAAATATATTATCTTCTACTGTTTGCACCCATTGCTGTTACTTTGAATCTTTATATGGAAGATCAGAATCAGGACATTCTGGAGTTATTTTTTTTTAGCTGATAATTACCAGATTCTGGTGCCCCGTTAGTCAAATTAGTAACTGCATGTATGTTTCAACTTTCCTTTTAGTACACATTACTACTTTTATTTCCAGTGTCAATGTCAGTATTTTAGATCCTGAACAGCAATAAGTGCAATAAAGGTACTGCTGCAACTAGAAAAATACGTTTGTTCATATACTGCCATACGCTTATTCATGCTAAACTTGGCAGCTAGTATGGAACAGTAGATATAATTTTCATCTAGTTTTAATCTAATTTTTGTTGAGCATGTTGCATCAAAAAGAAGACAAAAACTTTAAGTTTATTCCTGACTTCAGGTTGCACTACAATTTTGTTACTAAATAAAAATAAAACATGTTCCAGTGCTCTCAGGTACAAATTTCATGTTCTGTATATTTTTGCTTGTTTGTCTAGTTGATGCTATTGTCATTTAGGACTGAGCAGTGTGACCTCTGACCTCTTAAATGAAATTAATGTTTCTTACCCTTACTAATAAAAGTTTTATATAATGACAATGCTGCGGTGTTTATGTTCTAGTCGACATGTTAATCTAGCCACCTGTATCCTTACCTATTTTGAGTGCCTTAAAGCATTGAAGTGTAAATAATACAATACAGTGTGCATACTATGATCTGATAAGTTTGTGAGCAGGAGCATAATTGATTTATTTCCTCAGAAGACTGCCTATAGAAGTCTGGCTGATACTGATTGTATACTGGTTGTTTTATTAATTAGTCTTAATAGCAAATTCTGCTTTTTGAACACTTAGAAATGCTTTTCAGTGATCAGTTTCTCTGTAGCAAGTCCAAATATTAACTTCCCACTGCTTGAAAGTCCAAGTCTGTTTTTCCCACTGAGGCAAAATGTCCTATTCGGAGTGTTTATAATTAAAGTTCAGTTTTTCCGAAATTGTATGTATCTTCTAGTACAGAAATTCTAATTTTTAAAAGTAAAATATTGTACAGAGATTGGCATCGTCATGCCTGGTATATTGCTAGGTGGTTTTGCTTTCTTACATTCCAAATACTCTTGAGGCACTAATTAATGTAGGTAGAGATTTCCAATACATGCAGTTTTTTTAAATTTTCATTGAATAGCTTTGTTTTTCCCTTGTTCTTGTTGAACTTCTCTTTGGTTTTGGTCTGTTTTCTTATTCCCCCGGCTGCTTTTCTTTGCATAAAAATTCCTAGCATTTTCAATAATTTTAGAGCCTGAACTGGACATACACCTAAATATATGTCCTGTGGATTCCATTGGAAAGTATGTACAAGTAGTAGGTGGCAATGTGTAGTACCTGGAGCTCAGTTTTGCCATAGGTTTCATGCAGATTAAACTTCGAACAAGTGACTGAAGCCAAAGGGCATCAGCGTTATATGTTTATCGCAGATCTTACTGTGGGATTGATACCTTAGTAAACAACTTTGGATCTTGTTAGGTAGCTAGATTTTCATATGTAAATACTTTTTCATTTGCATTTGTCTCAGTGGTGTTAGTGATCTTGAAGAAGCAATACATGCTGTTCAGTTTATAAGGAGTAGGGGGGGGATTTTTCTTCAGTTTGCAATCCTGAATCCTGAAGTGAGTGTTGAACTAGTACAAACCTGCAGGCTGAACACTGCCGAGGTGCTTAAGTGATGGATAAACCTGAATTCCAATTAATTTTCAGCAGAGATTTTTTATTTCCATGCTTGGAAAATTTTACAGTTTTGTTTTTATAAACAAAAGGTAATGTGTTACTCTATTTGCTTTTTAAACGAAACAGGTATTTTAATAATTTCCTGAATTTCCTTACTGAGAACCAGGTTTGCGTCATTAGTGACAGGTTTAATTGTCTTAGAATACTGCATGATGATATGGTATATGGCATTTTTGTATAAGCAGTCTGTGTTTGGCCTTTGCACTGAAGTGTTTCTGCCTAATGAATGTTCGAATTCTCGTTAACTAAATCTGTCTATTTTATGCTTAACACTGAGCTTATTTCATTGATGTATATATAAAAATTCCCTCCCCCTCATTTTGCAGCTAGTGTGTATCTGTCTAATACGGGTGAATTGTGTTATTTGTTTTGGAATTCACATATTAAAATTGCAAAGTACTTGTGTTTGTGTTTGCATATGGAGATAAAAAAGATAATATTAAACTATGTAGACATACTACTTCTGGTATTCAGACCGTATACTTCTAAGGTATTTTGTACATGAAATTTATTTTGTACATAATTAAGTGGCTGCTGAATATTTTTAATATAAAATTGCCTTGTGGACATTGCTTGGACCACCATTGTGGACATTGTACCTAAATAAAATGCATATTCTTAAAGGATTGACTTAATTACAATTTCTTGTTAACTCTTAGAAATAGTGTTGTGATTGAATGTTCTATAATGATTGTATCTATTGTGGAAACAGGCTCCGGTTCTTGTCTGGGTTTGCATGGGCATACTTCTTTCCATGGAAGATTCCTTTGGAGAAAGTAAGGCAAAACCTGGCATCTACTAGTGTGTCTTCAGATACCATATTGAGGCTCCAGTTTGCTTTTCGTTAGAAATGGGTTTATAAAGCTTCTTTTTAGATCATTTTGATAGACTTCTTAAACCTTATTTGGATTTTAAAAAGGAAAGGATATCAGTGAAATAAGAAAAAAGCAACTGTCTAAAGTTAGTTCTCAAGCTCTTTGTTACAGTAGAAATTAGAGCTACTACAGTTGATTTCTTAAAATCAACATTCTTAAAATGTCTCTAAATACCTGTTGCATTTTTCTCTTTTAGATTTCCTTTTTCTAGCTGATTTCTATCTGAACTTGTTTTGGGAAACCAGGGCAAATTTAAAGTCAAAATATGAGAAGGGTATGAAAATAACAACCCCCATTGGGATAGCAAAACTGATAGATGCCGTGTACCCTTTGGGATGTGATTTAACTAATTATATTTAGCTGTTTTTTAATTACAACAGAAAACACTTTTGCTTTGAGAAAAGTATAGAATGTTAGAAGCATAAGCTTCAGATTAAAAAAAAAAACATGGGATTAAAACTTCACATACCTGGTTTTAACTTTTTATTCAGAAATACCTATATGAGTAATTTCTCGTTGAATTCTTCAGACAGTTCTCAGGACCTTAAGCTTCAGAGGCAGCAAGCTACTTGAATTTCTGGAATTGTTGCACGATAATACTTCAAAATCTTATTTCTAAGAGACTAAGTGGTGCAGTGAGGTAGTCTTTGCAATTTTGTGTTTTGCCCTATTTCCTCTAATCATGTCATTCAAATACATTTTTCAGTAATCAACAATTTCTGAAAATCTACACTTATGCAAAAAGTTGAAGAGTTTTGCAGCATATTTCTACTGCAAGAATGAATAGCTATACAAAATATTTGTATGAAGATAGGATATAGGTTGTCTTTTGAAATGTATATAGTTTATTACTGTACCCTTATACAAGGGCAGTAGTTTAGGGTTATACAAACAATCATTCACATCTCTTTCAAATCTAAAGTGCTCACCTTTTCAAAGTTGTTAAAGCATTTTTGATTAAATGTTGATTATGATTTGTGGTTGGGAGAAGAAAAAAAAAAAGCAAAAGTTTCATCACACTGTAATTCATGCAATAAAAATAAACTTCCTAAAGTGCTGAAAGGGGATGCTTTCCTGCTTTTTGTTTCTTTGGCGATTGAGTTGAATTTTTATGGATAACTTACAGCCTTTTTTGGTTTGTGTGAAGTGTAGACAGCTGATAAACTCTTAAGTAGATTTTATGTTCAATTCACTATGTCCAGACTGCTATTTAGATGATGAGGAAATGTCATTAGTTTAAGTTATCTATACTTCTGTGTATGCTAATGGTTTTGACCTTACAGGATTTTCTGTGGGGAAGTAAGAGAAAATTCTTTTGTGAAACTGGTGTGTTTAGTCTGCACTAGAAAACAATGTGATGAAACAAAAGTCAAAGCCAGTGCTCATTTATTTATTTATTTCTTGAAGCAAGGTCTTTTGGTCTTCCCAAATTGCTGTCTTAATGCAATTCAGTCGGAATGTGTCTCTGTTTTAATATTGCTGTTCTATACAGCCAGTTGCTCCTTTATGCAGACTGTTTGTTGAAGTATACATTTTTACCAAAAGTCAAAGCTAATTGCAGTTTGTAATTTTAGGTGATTGTTGAGATGAACGATTCTTATGAAATGGTTCACGCGTTTCTGGTGTCTGTGTCATCATGGAAGTGTTCTTTATCTGGTTTGTGTACATGTTACATTGCATACTTAAAAATGGCCCATTAAAAACAATTGTCAGTGACTTCTGGGATATGTCAGTGGTTTGTTGGTCAAAGAATTGATTTGGATGCTTAGTGTTGGTAGGATTCCTTTAGAAAATAATCCATTGCCCTTCTCTACCACTTTCTGGTAATAAAATGACTGGAAGATGGCTAGAACCCATAAAATGGTTGTAGACTGCAGAGGTTAAAATGATACATTTTGAAAGAACTCATGAACAATTTGTTAAGAATTACAGACTTAGGAAGACATAGTGAAAATTGTCTTACTCTTTTTATAATGAGAGTATGGAGATTTTAGAGAAGAGTTTCTTGTGAAATATTTACTCATGTCAATGTATGGAGGTAATAGCTGATGAAGATGGACATTATTTTAATATTTCAATTGGCTATTTTGAGTCTTCTTGTCCATAAAATCAAAGAAGGAAACGTTAATATAAACCTCTTTAACTGGTGACATATGTTCGTGGCATATGTAGCGTTTCTCAGGGTCCTTCGCTTGATCTCAGCAGTGGGTATTAGTGATGTTCAGAGATTGCAATTTGAAATACGCTATTGCAATTTGAAATACGCTATTGCAATAACTTTGCTTTCACTATAGTCAAGAGAAGCAAGACTTTTTGTTTGGTGAAATTTAGCTAATTTGTATGGGTTCTCTGAGAAACAATTCTTAAAGTTCAAATTTCTAAAAAATGTTTATGTAAAAATGGTACCCTCTCAGTCAAAAGGATCTGCATTCTCTGCATATTCATTTCATTTCTGCTTGCTTTTCCTGGCTAAACTACATTTCCATTTCTTTTTGCCCGTGTTAGTATTGCAGAGCAAATACAGATACTGGTGAGTGAGCTAGATTCTGTTCCATTTCAGGCACCATTAACGGAATCGTTAACCACTTTATGACACTAAGATTTTTGGTTTTAGTGATGTACGAGCAAGAAGGAGGTCAGATGTCTGTAAATGTGCAGTCCTTGCAGGAAATTAAAACTACTATGAACTGAGCATATTTAGTTTGATTGTTCTTGGGGTAGCAAGGAATCTAGTCTTTTTTCAATAAAGTCATTCTCGTAGTTGAGCTATCTTTGTGGGGCCACTGGCTATTTTGCGTTATGGTAATTTCTCAGGAACAGCACCAAGAACAGGGCCTTTATAGGGCTATACATATAAAAATATTCAATAAGAAACAAACTTCACAGTAAAGAGTCAAAATTGAAAGTAAGCAACAGGAAGTTGAAAAGCCTTACTCATGATATG